GAAGTGATTCATTTTGGGATGGATTTAATGCCCTTTTTTTTTTGCGCTCTCAAACCAAAGCTGTAGGAGACCTAAAGCAAGCAATGTACAGAGACTTGAGCAGAAGCACCTTAGAAGCGCCAGCCTTTGAGATAAGAAAACAGAACATTTTGTTTACCCTTTGAGCGCTGCAGTGATCACAAGATGTTTTGTAAACACTCTTGAAGCTGTTGAGCCCCCCCAGAGGAAGAATAGTTCTGTACAAAGTGGCAACTTCATGTAACAAAATACACATACTTATCCTAAGAATTGGGAATTGCAATATGGAAATACACCCTTGCATCTGGAATACCTCTTCCATGCAGGACAAAGGAGGATAAGTAACTGGAGTAAGAGGAACTGGAGCTGCTCATGCATTTCCAGTGGAAAAGAACTTTTCTGGCAGTAAGATTAATCTAACAGAAATGGTGCTAGCTTAGCCCTTGGCTGGCCCTTCTAGCTCTTCAAGTTTATTTTGAGAATGAAAACAACACAGCATTCACTCAAAATATACTCTATACATGATGTAACTCATTGTCCTCAGAGCATGAATTCACTGAAAGAGGTGACAAAGAGCAGTATTTCTGTTTGACTGTGAACCAAAACCATAGACTCAGATAAACTTCACAAACTTCCATTAAATATATTTTTAAAAGATTATGAATACTGAATCAGAACTGCAGATAGCAGAAGCAGCCACTTACCCTTTCTTACAAAAAAGTTTATTTACTCACAGAAGAAGGATGCCATTAGTTGTCCTCTTAGAACAGGCTATGATTGGAAGAACCTGAAAAGGAATGGCACTAACTCTGCCTTCTATAACTTCAGGCAGAAGGCACAAGGACAGGGCAGCTAAGGTGCAAATCTGCTCGCTATATGTAATCACCTGAAGAACTTCAAGTCTGCTTCACACAAGCCTTTTGTTGAACAAACGAGGAAAACCTATTTTTGGGCTATTTGTTAGCGTTTGCCTGGCACATTCAGATTCACATAGCAGATCCAGCTAGCCTGAAGGTGAGGATATGCTACCATGTGAAGAATGATAGAGGAAAAAAAAATACATCCCTAAAGGGTATTAAATATCAGTAGTAGGATGAGTTGAAGCTGGCAGCAAGTTGTTGCTGGTGTTCTAGTTGGTCTCTCCAGACCATTCTCTGCTTGTCTTAAGAGACAGAATTTCATAGAAAGTCTTAGTTTTAAAAGGGATTAAGGGAAGTTAGCCTGAGCTTTACAGAGCTGGAGAGTGTTATACTGCCTCTGGGAACTGCAATACGCTTTGTTGTCATTTTGACCTGACAGAAATATGTCTATATACAAAAAAACCCACAACAGACTCCGTGTAGACATTGTTTCCTGTTCTTCAAAATATGACTATTCTATTAAAATTCGCTGTGAAAAACCCTATTTAACTGGGACACTTTCCTTTCCGCTTTGAATGATGATGGGTAAAGAGATTATACTCTGGTGTTGTGATGAGGATATGTGGGACAGCTGTGGCCTCTGCCGTGACATCGGCTGGAACCCAGGGAGCTTTTTGATTGGTAGTTCTGTACAAATACACTGACCGCTTAGTACTTGTTTTCTCATCAAACACTGATGATCTTGATGACATTTTTTCCAGGCAATTGCATTATTTGAACAGAAAATAGCCTTGTTAGAAGTTAAAAAGTTCTGTTTGTTCCTTTCAGTGTTCCATTTAAAGTAACATGCTATATCCTGTGTAATGGAAATACAATGTCAGACTAGTGTATGATTTATAAACATACACATATAGGTACACGGGGGGGGCGGGGGGGGGCATGTGCATATATATGTGCCCTAATGGACCATAGGTGGATGGTGCGATACATGGCAACACAGCTACCAGTGGTCAGCTCCAGGTATTTCTTGTTAAGGTGTAGTACAGTTACTCCTTGTTTTATGCTGATTGTTGTTTTTTAATGGTGTTATATTAGTTTATTAAAATTCTTATTTAAGTCAGGCATACTGGAGGCACTAGAACACTGAATCTTAATGATGTATTTGATCTGTAATAGCTTTAAAGTTAAGCTGTATATTGATCAGCTTGAAAGAACGTATACCAGTTTTCTTATATGTGTTCTTTAAAGGTCACAGAGTTGTCAGAATTTCAGTAATTTCCATGCCTCATTAAAACTGAGGTATTTTTAAAACAATATAAGGGACTAAGAAAAGCCATTGGTCTTGTTTTACTAGAGCTGAAGTTGCAATGTCATATTATCCCTACACTATAAATTTTTGCAGAAAAATACAAATAGCAGCTTCAGCTTAAACAGCTGCACATCCACCAAAACCAACAGAACGGTAGATTTGAAGCCCCTTCCAACTGTCCCAGTGATACAGGATGTTGTTTGGTCATTCACCCTATTCGACCTTCTGCTCTTAATTTCTTTTTTCTTTTTCAAGATGCACATCGAAGCTGCTAAGATGCTTTCTTTTACTGAAGAGGAATTCATGAAAGCTCTTGAGTGGGGAAATTATTGATTCCATAAAAAAAACCACTTCTGTTTGAAATACAAGTCAGATGGTACACTATTTTAGCACTGTATATGAATGCTTGTTAATCGTCAATAACTCTATATCCCAGTGAATTGATTTTGTTTATGTTTAAATTGTTTAACTTTTATAAGCCTAATAAGCTTGTGTTGTAAATCATATGAAATACAAATTTTATACTGAAGTTTCAGGCCAAACAGTCCATTCTGTAATGAGCAGCGAAGCACAGACCGTGCAAGGAATATTCCAACAAGTGAACTTTGTTATCACTTTGCTCTGTTTTAGCATTTAAAACTGTACCTTATCTAAGGTAATACTCAGTCCAAAGAAGTCGGGGTTTAGTCTCAGAAAATTCCTTGCTGCAACAGAAATAAATTAACCGGTGATCCAGTTGAGAAGAAAATGTCACGTCCTTTTTAAAACACGTGGTTGGAAAATTGGCCTTGTCTGTTCTCTGTAACAGATCTCCCCTCAGAGTTGGCTAGTCTGACATCTAATTTAAGCACCAACAGCTCTTTTACAGGAATGATCGTAACTTAGTTTAGCTGTTACTCCCTGGCTGGCAAAAACATACCTGAGACTTGCCCCTCACTATCCAGACAGACTCCATAATCCGATACGGTTGTATTGTGTAAGATTGCTACTCTAGTCAAAGTCAAAATATTAAATCTTGCCCTGGCCAGCAGCTGCTGCCTGGGGATACAGTCAGGAGCAAAAGCTCCATATTCACAGGTGCTCTACAAGCATTACATCTTTAAAGATTTCATTATGTCACCATTATAATCAAGAATTAGATAAAAGTTTGAGTGTAGATGACCTGAGCATATCGTGTGTACGTTTATGAACAGGACCAATAAAAGCCTGTGCTGCTTGCATGAACCTCTGTCATACCTCAGCTATTTCAAGGGATTCCTCCCCCCTCAGAGTAATGGAACAGGAACATGGCACATACATAGTAAGTTTATGCACTGAAATAAAGGTATAAATGGTGATTCTGACCTCAAAATGGAAAAATGTCTCTGCTTAGATCCTACCAGCGAAGTAACATGGCCTAACAGTGAAACAAGTAACGCAGGCCTACCCCTTTGAGACGAGGCGAACTACGTTTCAGTTAGTATTTTCATAGTGTAAAGCCAGGGCAGATAAATCTTTAAATTACAACCAGAAATAGTGCACTAAGAGAGCCTTACAGTCCATACTGAAATACAGATGGGAATTTATACTAGCTTAGGTTTCTGCAGAGTTGCTGGAGAAAGCATTTGTAACATTGCTGCATCACTAATTGAGAATAATTGAGAACGCCATAACAGTTTATTGATGAAAAATGCAAGTACAACATACACTTAAATAAAACTAACTGCTCATCAGTTTAGAACCCCAGTCTTAAAATGGAGACTTTTTATGATACTAAAAAGGAGTTCCTCACTGTTAATAGCAAATGGAAATTTTCATTAGAAATCAGATGACACCTAGTGGCAAAGCAGGAGATGAGATGGGGGAAATTTCAGCTTTCTTCTGAAAATGGATTACCTCTTCTCTTCTGATAAGCCAATCTAAATTCCTCTCCAAGCATGTTAATGTCATCTTCGTCTCTAAATACTCCCTGCAATAAGGGGAAACAAACACAGGTTGGAAGGTACAACAAAGCAGAGAGATTCTTGCGGATCTCTGAAACGTTCTATGGAAGTGAATGTAACAGCTTGCATCCATCCTACCCGTGTCACCTTTAGAACAAACAGCCCTGAAAACCATCACAGAACTTCAATAGATGAGTTTCAAATTGGTGTACTTGGTGCTAACCTAGAACCTCTTTTGTTCTTCACACAAATGATGATGAGAACCCTGTAAAGATTCCAACATGAGCACTATACCAAAGACAACATTTATCTGCATCCTCTTTCTAATAAGTGATTATGGCCAGCACAGCACAGCTGCAGGTCTAGTAAAAAAACCAAGCAACTGCACTGAAAAGAGGCACTGGCTGGGGCGGGGCTCTATCTCCACCTTTAGTTGTGTTGAAATTAGGATACAAAAAAAATTGTTTTGGAAATCAACTGATACAGAACAACTTAATTGTAAACTATGTTTTGGGGAAGGGAAGCAGGGGAACACAGAAAACTAATTCTAAATTAATTTTAGTGCTAAAAATGTGTGTGACCCACAGAATACACCTTGCAGCATTTCGGGGCGGGGCAGAAATGATTACAAATTGCATTTATATATTAGAGACTTTAGAGTTAGGTGGCATTTTTCTATTTAACCATTATGGGTGAAGTAACACGATGTATGACCACACAATTCAGACACAGTGTTGAAGCAGAGAAAAGAACAAAGTAGAACACCACTGCCATGGAACAGGTGTGAACCTTGGACACTGAAATAGCCAAGACTTCCTACAACAGTAGATTCACACCAGAAAACTACATCAAAAGATTGCCAAATTGAGTTATCCTTTAATTAAATCTACATTAGAAAGTAACTGCCAATTTTACAAATTCATGCACCAAATCAGTATATTAATATTTGAGTAAAAATCATACTCTGCTATATTTACACTGTTTTCCAGTACTGCAGGAAAGAATAAATAACTGGATAACTCCCTCTCTACTGTAAATGCATTTTTACATCCCTAAAGCAGCTCTCTGCTCATTTGTGTACCATCAGGTGATCCTTCCAATTACGAAGTATAATACAATGTTGTAGTTTATTGCTATTACAATAATTGCTTCATTTTTTTAACTTTTAAAAACACGAGGATGAACAGAGTTAGCTTTGAAATGCTTCTGTAAGCAAGCACTGCAGTTTATTGCAATGCAAGAGATGAGGCCTTGTTTCCATGGCAACAGAAGACTTAGAAGACAGCCAACACTCTTAAGAAATTGTTCCCAAAACCCCAACTGAGAAATTTGGTGGAAACAGGGTTTAAGATACGGCGGACCCCTTTCTAGCTCGAAAAGCCCTGCTTTAGAACTTACATTCCATATTCCAAAAACTGGATGTGCAAAGCGCTGGGGAAGCTTTCAGCAAGCTCTGTGCAAGGCATCAAGATTGCAGTAGAGCCCAAAGCCGATCATACAGAAAGAGTATTTTTGTAAATTGCTTCCCAACTCAAAAGAAAAAAGGAAAAGGTGAGCCCAGGAGAGCTGACACAATAAGGACACCCGCTGACTCCAGGAATTTACACAGTTCTGCAACTTCACCTTAAACTATCCAGGAGAAAACTCTTGTGTAGGACAAGTATTTAAAGCATTTAAAATACAATTCACTTACTCGAGGAAGATAACCCAGTAATTTAGAGGCATGCTCTTTCAAGAGTTTCTGTCTCTCTTCTTCAACAATTGCACGGATGTTTTCTTGTCTTCTCTCTTCTAACTGTCTTTCCGCAAATTCACGCTCCTACATTAAACAAGCGAGTTTTCATAACTTCAGTTTCGGCTCTGTGAACATTTGTTTCCACCAATATTCACCATAGTAGAAAGAGAAAATTTTTTTAGTGGAGTAAATTTTGAAATTCCACTTATTAACTCCTGGTCACAAGAAATTAATTTGAAAAGGACGGAAAAGCATATGCAAAACCCCACAAAGCACTGTTTAAACAATACATGTTTGTTAACTAGAAAAAAATCTCAGACAAAAGAGAAGACTGAATGGCAAGACATGGGGCTACTCTGCTATCTAAGTGTTTGGTCTCATACTAGAAGCCCTTTTAAAGGCAGTTAAGCGTTCTGGTTCCTGGTTGGCTCTCAGACAAGTTAGTCTGTTCCTGCCCTACTGTTCTAATCTGGGAAAAGGAGATACAGGCATATATTCTCATGCTGACAACTAGAAATTGCCATTCACATTACACATGTAATTTATACCCTATAAACAGGTGCAAAACCTGCAGTATAGGATTCCATAACTTGTTTTCAGTTTATGCCTTTTCTTCCTCAGATGATAATTGGAGAGACTTAATCTAAAATCAAGGCTGGGACCTCCCCTTCTCACACATGATTGTCAGTGCTGCTGATCAAGGACGCCAAACTGGACAACAGTTGTGTCGCTGATCCCATGGCTCCTGAAGAGACGTTTGCAGAGCACGTCGGGTATACAGGGGTCTACGGATATTGCTGAGTCTAACCTCCTGAGCTACAAAATAAAAGTTAGCTCTAAAAAGACTTTTTTTCTTGTCAGGAAGCCAAAACAATGGCCTGCTTCCCCTTTGCACATTTCTCTGCGGTTTCCCTGTCACCTTTCCCTACTAACGATAGCCTCGTCACTTAGGATAGCAGAAGTATTGTCATATTGAAACGCTTTGGCTCAAACCAGGGGTGAACATAAAAACTCTTACTTTATCTGCAATAAACTGTTTGCGACGGTCTTCAATAAGTTTTTCCACAGCCCTTCTATGTTCAAGCTGTTTCATTCTTCGTTTCTGAGCATTCATCTGTTCAACGCGATCATCCTCTGCAAACTTGGCCAACATCTGTTGTCTGAAGGCTTCTTCCTCTTCTTGCATAGCTTGTCGCACGACCTTCTTTAAAGCAAATTGCTCTTCGTACATTTGCCTTAAGTCTAGGCGTTGCCTTATTCTCTTTTCAATTTCTGCCTATAAAGGAAAATGTAATAAAATGCTGTATTACTGAACATACTTTGGAAAATTTTTCTCATAATCAGCCAATATACTCGATTTATCTTGGAATAAATTTACTTGTAGCTGTAACCTTCTAGCATAAATAACTGGAGCAAACACCCCATATCTGACAGGGCTTTCCAGTATTAACCAGTTTAGCAAACGTCTCAAGATTCTGAAAATTAAGTCCAAAACAAAAGGAGATTATTTCTTTCCACTAGCATAAAGTGAATCAACAAGACAGTCGTCCTGAACAACTCTCTAAAAATAACAGTGGTACGCATCTCAGCCTGAGTTACGTTTTATTTGTCACCCACAGCAAGGTAAGGCAGAGTGTGGGCGGGCCCAAAGGAAACAGCAAACGGACACGCAAAAA